TGTAGACCACTGGCCTGTGCATTGTCATACTGTAGCAGTCTGTGTATTATGGTGATGCTGGATGCTGTGCCATCACTATTTCAAATACCAGCATGGTTACCTATGGGGGAGCGGTTTCAGTAGAGCTTCAAGACCAAAGCAGACTACAAAGAAGGACCTTGTGATCTACTTCAGAAAAATTGAGCAGTGAAAACCTTATGAATAGGAGCAGAATATTGTCTGATATAATGCTGGAAGATGAGCCCTTAGGTTGGAAGGCATTCAGAATACAATTAAGGAAGAGCTGCCTCCTCAAAGGAGTTGTTGTTCTTAGGTGTCACCAAGTCAGGTCCGACTCACAGTGACCCTATATACAACAGAACAAAACAATGCCTGGCCCTGCATCATCCTCACAATCCTTGCTATACTTGAGCCCATTGTTCCAGCCATTGTGTCACTCGATCTTGTTGAGGGTCTTCCCTTCTTCACTGACCCTGCACTTAACCAAGCATGATATCCTTCCCCAGGGAATGGTCCTTTCTGCCAACATGACCAAAACAGGTGAGACTAAATCTGGTCATTTTCACTTCCAAGGAACGTTCTGGCTCCACTATTCCCAGACAGGTTTGTCCATTCTTCTGGCAGTCCATCACACTTTCATTATTTTTCACCAACATCACAACGCAAAAGCATCAATTCTTCTTGGGTCTTCCTTATTCATTGTCCAGTTTTCCTGTGCATATGAGGCAATTGAAAATATCATGGCTTGAGTTAGACGCACCTTAGTCTTCAAAATGACATCTTTGTTCTTCAACATTTTAAAGAGGTCTTTTGCAGCAGATTTGCCCAGTGCAATATGATGTGTGATTTCTTGACTGCTGCTTTTATGGGTCTTGATTGTAGATTCAAGTAATATGAAATCTTTGACAACTTCAATCTTTTCTATATTTATTGTGATGATGCTTATTGGCCCAGTTGTGAGGATTTTAATTTTCTTTATGTTGAAATGCAATCCATACTCCAGATTGTAGACTTTGATCTTCATCAGTAAGTGCTTCAAGTCATCTTCACTTTCAGCAAGCAAGGTTGTGCCATCTGTATCACAGGTTATTAACAAGTCTTCCTCCAATTTTGATAACATGTTCTTCCTCATATAATCCAGCTTCTAAGATTATGTGCTCAGCATACAGATTGAGTAAGTGTGGTGAAAGGATACAATCCTGATGCACTCCTTACTGATTTCAAACCATGTAGTATTCCCTTGTTCTGTTCAAATGACAGCCTGCTAGTCTATGTAGAGGTTCCTCATGAGCACAATTAAGTGTTCTGGAATTCCCATTCTTCTCGACATTATCAATAATTTGTTATGAGATACACAGTTGAATGCTTTTGCATAGTCAATAAAACACAAGTAAACATCTTTCTGGTATTCTTTGCTTTCAGCCAAGAGCCATCTGATGTCAGATGATATCCCTTGTTCCACGTCCTCTTCTGAATCTAACTTGCATTTCTAGAAGTTCTCTGTCAATATACTGCTGCAACCATTTTTGAATTATCTTCAGCAAAATTTTACTTACATGTGATATTAATTATATTGTTTGGTAATTTCTACATTCTGTTGGATCACCTTTCTTTGGGATAGATAAAAATATGAATCTCTTCCAGTTAGTTGGCCTGGTAATTGTCTCCCAAATTACTTGGCATAGACGTGTAAGTGCCTACAGTGCTGCGTTCATTTGTTGAAACATCTCAATGGGCATTACGTCAATTCCTGGATCCTTGTTTTTTGCCAATTCCTTCAGTACAGCTTCAACTTCTTCCTTCAGTACCATTGGACCTTGATCATATGCCACTTCCTGAAATAGTTTAACATCAACTAATTTTTTTTTTTGTTCAGTGACTCTGTATTTCTTCCATCTTCTTTTGATGTGTCCTGCATCAGTCAATATTTTCCCCATAGAATCTTTCAACATTGCAACTCTAGGCTTGAATTTTTTTCTTCTGTTCTTGCTTGAAAAATGCTCAGTATATTCTTCCCTTTTGGTTTTATAACTCCAGGTCTTTGCATATTTCATTATAATAGTTGACTTTGTCTTCTTGAGCTGCTCTTTGAAACCTCCTGTTCAGCTTTTTTATCATTTCTTCCACTTGCTTTAGCTGTTCTCCATTCAAGAACAAGTTTCAGAGTCTTTTTTGACATCCATTTTGGTCTTTTCTTCCTTTCCTGTCCTATTGATTTCTTCATGAATGATCTTTTGAAGTCATCTCACAATTCATCTGGTTTTCGGTCATAAGTGTTCAATGCATCAAAACTAGTCTTCAGATGGTCTCTAAATTTATGTGGGATATAATCAAGGTCTTCCTTTGACTCTCATGAACCTGGTTTTAATTGTTTTCAGCTGCAGCTTGAACTTGCACAGTATCAGTTGATGGTCTATTTTAGTCAGCTCCAGGCCTTGTTTTGGCTGAAGATATTGAGAGTCTCCATCTCCTCTTTCCACAGATATAGTCAATCTGATTCTTACATCAGGTGATGTTCATGTGTATAGCCACTGTTTATGATGTCCAAAAAAAAGGTATTTGCAATGAATAAGTAATTGGTTTTGCCAAATTCTATAGTGCAATCTCCAGTGTGATTTCTATCACCAAGCTATATTTGCCAACTACCAGTGATTCTTTGTTTCCAACTTTTGCATTCCAATCACTAGTAATAATCAACATATCTTGACCATGTTTGGTCAATTTCATACTGCAGAAATTGGTAAAAATCTTTAATTTCCTCATCTTTGGTCTTAGTGTTTGGTGAGTAAACTGGAATAATAGTAGTATTAACTGATGTTCCTTGTAGGCATATAGCTATTATCCTATCACCAACAGTCCTGTATTTCAGAATAGATCTTTAAACATTCATCATGTCAATGAATGCCATGCCATTCCTCTTCAATTTGTCATTCTTATCATAGTAGATCATATGGTTGTCTGATTCAAAATGGCCAATATCAATCCATTTCAGCTCACTAATGCCAAGGTGGTCTATTTCATTTTTTACAACTCCAATTTTCCTACGTTCATACTTTGTATATTCCATGTTCCAATTTTTGATGAATGTTTACCACTGTTGCTTCCCATTTTGGGTCATGCTCCATTAGCATATGGAGGCTCCAAAAGCTTAACTCCATCTCCGTCATTAAGGTCAACTCTACTTTGAGGAGGCATCTCTTCCCCAGTCATATTTTGAGTGCCTTCTGACCTGAGAGGCTCATCTTCTGGCACTATATCAGACAATGTTTCAGGGCTATTCATAAAGTTTTCCAGTAATATCTCAGACAATGTTTCAATTCTAGTCATAATCTTTTCACTGGCCACTTTTTTGAGAAGTTATGGCCTCTTCCTTCTTCCCAGTCTGTCTTAGTCTGGAAGCTCCGCTGAAACCTGTCCACCATGGGTGACCTTGCTGGTATTAGAAATACTGGTGGCATACACTCTAGCTTCACAGCAACATGCAAGCTTCCACAGTACTACAAACTGACAGATGAATGGTGGCCTCAAAGGAGAGTCAACCTCAATGATATGGATGGAGTAGATCTTTTGGGGCACATCATTTGTTGATGTGTATAAAATAACAATCAAGGAAAATTAGAAGTTGCCAACAAATAATACAAAACACTAAATAATTTGTACCCTAGGCTAGGCATTATTGAGCTGAAATGCATTAGTATTGGCCATTTTGAATCAGACAAACTTATAATCTACTATGCTGGGAAAGAAGTTCCTATAATGACAATAAAAGGTGTTTTCTTTCAAGAAACTAAATAAAATAGCTCTTCTTAAGAATTATTGTCCTTGGTCTCAGGTTACTCTCAATAACCAGTATTGTCTATCCAAATAAAACTTCTCAAATGCCTACCTAACATAAATTAGTGGCATCTTTTACACGAGGTAGGCCGTTCAAACCCACCAGCCACTCTGTGGAAGGAACACTGGGCCATCTACTTCTGTAAAGATTTACTGCTTCAGAAACCCAGAGGAGGTTACTATGAGTTACAATTGATTCCATGGCAGTGAGTTTGGTTTTGGTTTTTTGTTTGTGTGGGTTATGATCACAATGCTAGGGGTAACTTGTTCAGTTTTATAAATTGCCCTTGAAGAACAGAAACGTGTTTCAAACTAATGATAAAATACAGCATAAAGTGTTTTAACTGAGTGTTCCCTTTTGATTTTTTCACTTTGCGGTCATATTAACTGGATTTCTCTTCATTGCTTTTTGCAGTATTACTACTCCATCAAGGATATTTCTGTTGGAGGGATGTGCATCTGCTATGGTCATGCCAGGGCTTGTCCACTTGATCCAGCGACAAATGTATGTATATTTATAGGATGCTTAGGCGAAATGAAGCTCTGAACTGTAAAATGCTTCATGCAAGGCTTTGCTGACAGGAAACGCTGTGAACGGGTGTCAGCTCCCCACTTAGGCAGTGTAACAGAAAGCCGTGCCAGGGTGAAATAGAGCTGGCAGTTTGGATGATAGACTTTGAAGTCAGCCATCACGGAATCAGAAAACAGATTAGTTTTTTCTAAAAAGGCTCCAAACTGGTCTATCTATTTTGAAACTTCTCTAGCTATGACAGCCTGCTGCACGATTTAGCTTTAGGGAATACCTGCCATCAATCAACCTGGCCATTTCTTTAAAATTTTTAATCAAAAAATTAATGCAAAAGAATGAAAAATGGGCATGGACATAAATACGTAATAGCCATGAAACGAGATACTGAGGGAGGGCAGGGGCAATGAGGAGCAGGGTAGAAGAGAATATTTAAGAGAGAGTTGAAATTTCTGGAGCAGAAAATGCCAGAATGCTTTTGGGTAGAATTTTTCATTAATATCAATGCATTAAATGAACATAATCTAAAGAAGAAGGTGAATGAGAGTATTTTTCTCAATCATAAACTGGTAAAGTACAAAGTCATCCACTGTGCAGTAGATGTAAGAAATATATTGAATACTAAGATCAGTGAACATAGGTTTGACTATGAATTTTTTTTTTTTCCCCTTCTAAGTGTGTAATACAAATGATACTACCTTCGACGCTAGTTTTCTGACTAATGGATCACAGTGTTACCTCCCAGGGAAGGTTCAAATACTCTGGTATATTCTGAGGAGCAAAGTTTAGTGCTACTTTCTACAGGGCATGGCAGCTTTATCAAGTGTATTGATGGGCAATATTTCCAAAGCTTAGAGAGTCAACAAGTCATCTCTGAAGGGTCAGGTCAATGTAGCACACACAGAGAGGAGGTTTTAGTGCTGGGGGATAGATGATTTCTACTGTACCTGTGTCCCTAGATGCCTATGAATCAAGTCCCTTCTTTTTTCACACTGTCTAAAATGTTAACAACATTTTGAGGGAAATATTAAAATAGACACATCCAACCCACAAAACCTCCATATCCCAGGCATCAGAGAAAGAGAATTCAACCTCTGAGACCAATCCTAATTTGGTTTCCTTGTTCTATTCCAATGAGAAACCCAGAGATTATAACACTGGAGCCCCCTACGCTGGTGCTGTTCATGTATACCTGCCCCAAGGCTGGAACCATTTCCTTCTCAGACTAACAAGAGATTTTACATATTGGTACATAGTCTCGAGGTTTTATTTTTTCTTCACACTAAATTTTGGAGAAATGGTTCTATATAATGCTAAAATTACGTTTTTCCCTTTCTCTCCGACTAGAAATCCCGCTGTGAATGTGAGCATAATACGTGTGGTGATAGTTGTGATCAGTGCTGTCCAGGATTCCATCAGAAACCTTGGAGAGCTGGGACTTTTCTAACTAAAACTGAATGTGAAGGTATGTTCTTAAGAAGCCATGGAATGTATAATTCTTTCTTTCTTTGGAAACGGGTATTATAAACGTATGGAGATTTTAGGAAAACTCATGTTTCTGATTTACATATTTTATCTGAGGCAATAGTTGGTAAATTCTTTTACTCTTCATTACTGAACCTTTGAAAGTTTTGTTTAAAAAAAAAAAAAACTGGAAGACATTTTTCAAACACCTATAAATTTACCACTGTGTTGTACCACTTAGGCCTTAGTGCCTAAGGTATTTGACTGCTAACCAAAAGGCTGGCAGTTCAAACCCATCAGCCATTCGATGGAAGGAAGATTGGGCTATCTACTTCTGTAGAGACATTGCCTCGGAAACCCAAGGAGGGGTCGCTATGAGTCAAGTCAACTCAACAGCAATGAGTTTGGTTTTTTGGGTTTTTAAGAATTATGAGAAATAGATAAAACTTAGTATATACTTATAATCATCAGGGTGAGACTGAAGCCCATAGGAAAATGTATGCATAGACTAATACAAAGGTAAATACATGTTGAGCAAAACAGATTTTATAGAGATTAGCTTCCTAACACATATGTTTATAAAATGGTTCTGACACCACTGTTAGCTCCAGCTCCTTCTGTCTACTCCCTTAGCAGCAACCTCTCTCTCTTACTAAATAATCCTGTGTACTAATTATCAAATCAAGGGAGAAAAGAGATGAGAGGTTATGCCCTACATGTTAGAATCAATGTATTATCTGAAAAACAAAGACCACTATGATTCATTAGTTATATTTATTAGAGGGTGGTGTTTGAGGGCAACAGCTGGGAAATACTAAAGTGACAGAGAAGGTATGAAGTAAAATTTGTAGAAAATGAAACTTATTTTAAAAAGTAACAATAGTATTTTAAATACACAGCTTGGAATTAGTAACAACTATATACAACTACTAATTTTAGAAGTGGCATCAATGATAACCATTAGCACAAACTATACTATAGCAATTATTGTACAGAGATAACTAAAGAAAAAATGCCAGTAATGAAAATAGTAAGAAGACTGGTTTTGCAAATGTGACAACAAATACTTATTTATACTTTAATATTATCGCTTTTGAAGACAACCCATATGTCTAATTGTTCCTAAAGGGAAATAAGAAGTGTAGCAGATGATTTTATAGCCCAAAAGCTCTACATGGTAATAAGACTGCTGGACAAACTTCTGTTTCTGAAGATCTCCTTAGGCCAAGAAATGACCTAAAAACAGAGGCTTGTGGTGAAATATAGATCCACATTAGTATGAAGCCCAAGTCAATTAAATTCAAGTATTAATATTTTAATGAATCAGCCTTAACCATTTTTTTTTTCAGTTCAGTAAGTATACATAGTTTCCAAAAGTAGGCTTGGTGTTGTTTTGTTAGGTGCAGTCAAGTCAGTTTTGATTCAGTGACCCCATGTACAACAGAGGGAAACACTGCCTGGTTCTGGACCATTCCCATAGTCATTGCTGTGCTTGACCCTATCCTAGCAGCCACTGTGTCAATCCATCTGGTTGAGGGCCTTCCTCTTTTTTTGCAGACTCTCTACTTTGTCAAGCATGGTGTTGTCTTCCAAGGACTGGTCCCTCCTGATAACATGGCTAAAGTATGAGAGAAATAAGGCTGGCTATTTTCATTTTTAAGGAGCATTCCAGCTGTACTTCTTCCAAGACAGATTTGTTTGTTCTTCTGACAACCATGTTTTATGTCCAATGTTCTTTGCCAAGACTGTAACTCAAATGCATCAATTCTTCTGAGGTTTTCCTTATTAATTGCCCAGCTTTCACATGCCTATGAGGCTATTTAAAGCACAATGGGTTGAGTGAGATGCACCTTAGTCTTCAAAATTACATCTTTGTCTTCAACACCTTGACGAGGTCTTTTGCAGCAGATTTGCCCAATGCAACATGTCATTTGATTTCTTGACTGCTGCTTCCATGAGTGTTGATTATGGATCTAAGTAAAATGAAATCCTTGACAACTTCAATCTTTTCTTCATTTATCATGGTGTTGCTTATTGGTCCAGCTGAGAGGTTTTTTTCTTTTCTTTATGTTGTGTAATCCATAATGAAGGCTGCAATCTGATCTTCATCAGTGAGTGCCTCAAGTCCTCTTTCAATAAGGAAGAGTGTTTGATTGCATGCTATTAATGAATCTCCTTCCAGTCCTGAGGCCTCATTCTTCTTCATACAGTTCAGATTCTCAGATTATCTGTTCAGCATGCAGATTGAATAAGTATGGTGAAAGGATGCAACCCAAAGCACACTTTTCCTGATTTTTAAACCACGCAGTTTCCCCTTGTTCTGTTTAAATGATTGTCTCTCAATCTATGTACAGGTTCCTCATGAGCACCATTAAATGTTTTGGAATTCCCATTCTTCACAATGTTATCCATAATTTGCTATGATCCACATAGTCAAATGCCTTTGCATAGTAAATAAAACACAGTAAACATCTTTCTAATATTCTCTGCCTTCAACCACGGTCCATCTAACACCAATGGTAATATCCCTTATTCTACATCCTCTTCGGAATCCACCTTGAATGTCTTGCAGTTTTCTGTCTCTCTAGTTTTCACATCCAGTTGGATCACCTTTCTTTGAAATGGGAATAAATATGGATCTCTCCTACCAGTTGGCCAGGTAGTTACTTTCCGAATTTGTCATAAGTG